AGGATCCCCAACCCTCCTCAGACTCCAAATCCCACTGAAATGCCCCCAGATGGGGCAAGGGGGGGTGTGTGGAGGGCTGCTGTGTCCTGGGGAGGGGGACCCCGGACCTGTCCCAGACCTCCCCAAACTGTGGCAATGGGGTGCCCCCCCATGCCCCTCCCACCAAAGATTTGGGGACCCTCTATCCTGGTGGGGTTTCCTTCCCCCCAGAGCCCCATGGGTGTCCCTATCTGGTGGGTCTGGTGTGCCAGGGGGTGGACCAGAGGTCATCATGGTGGCAGGGACAGGCAGTGGCAGCCGGGGGGCTGGTCACGGTGGCCTCAGGCCCCCCTCACTTCGCCGTCATCATCTGCACAAACTCTGCCAGGAGAGAGAGGAGGGTCAGGGGGAAAGGGACACGGGGAGGATGAGGGGACACGATGAGGGACACGGGGAGGATGGGGACACGATGGGGGACACGGGGAGGATGGGGACACGATGGGGGACACCGTGGAGCCTGTGGGGATGGAGGACATGGAGGGGACAGGGGACACTGTGGGGTCAGAGGACACGGAGAACGGGTAGTCTGTGAAGGCGGAGGACACAGAGAGGACAGGGGACACTGCAGGGTTGGCTGTCCCCAGGCTGGCAGGGACAGGGGACACAGGGGTGTCCCCAGAAAGAGGTGATGGCCTCTTGGAGATAGGAGAACGTGGGATCCCACATTTCTGTCCCTCCTGCCTCCAAAGCAGAGCTCGTGCCAGGGGTGACAGGGGACACTGTGGTGTCCCAGGGCAATGGTGATGGGGAACATGGGGGATGAGAAGCGCCACGGGTGGGGACATGGGTGACAGCGGGGGGTGACAGCGGCACTCACCCTCGTAGTTGACCTGCCCGTCGCCGTCGATGTCGGCCTCTCGGATCATCTCGTCCACCTCCTCGTCCGTCAGCTTCTCCCCCAGGTTGGTCATCACATGCCTCAGCTCCGCTGCGCTGATGTACCCGTTCCCGTCCTGGGATTGGGGACAACCAGCCGTGACACCGGTCTTGCCCCATCCCCTTGTCTCCCCCCATCCCTGTCCCCGACCCCCACCTTGTCAAAGACACGGAAAGCCTCGCGGATCTCCTCCTCGCTGTCCGTGTCCTTCATCTTCCTCGCCATCATGGTGAGGAACTCGGGGAAGTCGATGGTGCCGTTGCCTGGGGTGGGGATGGAAATGGAGGAACGGTGAGGAAGGGACCGGGAGACAATGGGACAAGGGGACAGGGGGACAGGTGGGACTCACCGTCAGCGTCCACCTCGTTGATCATGTCCTGCAGCTCAGCCTCGGTGGGGTTCTGGCCCAGGGAGCGCATGACAGTGCCCAGCTCCTTGGTGGTGATGGTGCCGTCCCCGTCCTTGTCGAAGAGCGAGAAGGCCTCCTTGAACTCTGGGGACCGGTGACCATGGGTGACAACAGGACAACTGTCACCAGCAGGGGCCAGGGACAGCCGGGGAGTCTGCAGGTGGCCACAGCTGGGCACCCGTGTCACCCTGACAGCCAGTGTCACCTCCTGTGTGCCCTGGTGCCATCCCTCTGACACGTCAGTGTCCCCTCCAGGGTGTCCCACTGTCACCTCAGCACCCTAATGTCCCCTCCTGGGCGTTCCCCTGTCACCCCAGCACCCCAGTGTCCCCTCCTGGGTGTTCCCCAGCACCCCAGCACCCCAGTGTCCACCCACCTGCGATCTGCTCCTCGCTAAGCTGGTCAGCCTGGGGGAGGGACAGGGGTGAGGGGGCACCCACGGGACCCTCCAGCACCCACCACCCCAACATTCACTGGCACCCGAGCCCACTGATGCCCCCTCAACCCCCCACCCCAACTCCTGACACCCACAGGCCCCCCAAACTCCTCCCCGCACCCACA